CTTAAGTATTCAAAATTTTATTAAGGTATTTAAATTACAACAGTTATTAAATAATAATGATTTAAACTAGAGAATTTAACTGTTTGACTGTTTATTTTAATAAGTCGAAAAAAAAACATATTTATAGTTAAATTTTAATGGCTCTCAGTTAGTTCTGATTTTAGCCATGGTTTTAAAGTCAAATTGCTTTTAAAAATAATGCTACCAAATATGGTAGGTATCAGAAATAACTTTTTTTATTCATAAAAATGCAAGTCTTAATCCGCACTATCACTTAAAACTTTGAAATGTTCCTAAAGATCATAAATGTGTATTTAGGTAACTCCTGACTTGTCAACTTTGTTCAATCCAACATAATCCGGTGAAAAATTTAGTATTACATGAAAAAATGACCACACTGTATATTATGATACAAGATAATCATAATGATTTAACTAAACTAACCAACTTCAGTTTCATAAAGCTTTGTTTGATTTAACATTTTTTTTTTTGTAAGCAACTGCAGTGTATCTCTTGGACAAGATAAAAAAATTTGAGTTAATGTATCTAGTGCACACATTATTATATTAGAGTCTGGATGCAATATTGTAAAACAACAAAATCTAAATATCTGTAAAATAATGTTAGAACATTAATAATATTATAGTTCTTATTATAATTAAAAAAAATATTTATTTAATTGATCAAAGACTGTTTTCATACTAAAAACAAATTAACAAAATAATATTAATCAAATACCTGTAAGTATATTTTTTGAAGAATTTTTGATTCTAATTTCAATTCGTAGGAGTTATCACAAATATGATCAGGATAGAGAATTGTATTTTTAACACTATTCAATATGCCAAGGATAACGCAACTCTCTGCCCATGCACGTTCTGTCCCCATTGACTTGTTAATATCTTTAAAAATTATATTTTATATGATTATACAATAAAAATATTTATGTATTTAGGTAGACATTTACCATAGATTAAAACAGTGTTTATGAGCAGCATGTGTTTAATGAAAACCATAGGTTTTCTGCTGGAAAGACATAATGATTCTATACAAGTAACACTTGATCTTCGTATGATAGAAGAATCTGTAACGAGATTGTTAACGAATGCTTCTAACAACATCTACAAAACATTGTTATTAATTATTATTAATAATTAATATTATTACTGTTTTTTAGATGATTCAATTTTTTATAACTTATTTTCATAACTCACTTTTATATTGCTATCAGACATAATATGTCCTAAGCTTTGCATGATTTTTGGAAAAGTTTGAGCCAATATTTCTGCCACAGGATCTTCTGTTCTCATAGCAATTTTTTTTATGCAAGGTATTAAGAACAAAACAAATTTTTTACGACTAGCTGGGCTAAAACAAATCATATTATTATTTTGTTTATATAATCACAACAGCAGCAATAATTATTAGTTAAACACCAGTTTTTATATATCATTTATAGATTTTAAAACTACCTGATTAAATGACAAATATTTCCAAATCTGGATAAAGCAGCTCTTAATCGACGAACAGTATCATTTTTCTTTACTTCTTTTAATAATTCAACAAATATTTCAACTTTACGATAATCAATCATGCACTAAAATGATGGAGATAAATAAAATAATATATAATATAAATTATAATACATATATAGACTAGAATATAACATTGGTAAAATGGTATAGATACATACACGAACAACTTTGTTTAGATTTTCCTCAGCTACCATTCTTATATTAGCTTCAGAATGATCACACATTTTAAATAAACTATCCATCGACTTATGTAAAAGATCAGGGAATGATGAAAAATTCATAACAATTGGTGCACAAATTAAATCGGCAGTAACTCGACAATATTTTTCTTTTTCTCCAGACCTTTGAAATTAAATTATTTATATTATCACAATCACATAAATTCAATTTTTGATACTTACCGTCCAATCAAGTCATTTGACTTGAGACCGTCTAGAGCTTTTGCAAGTTTATCAATGATCGACATCGCTATAAAGGTAAAAACAAAGGTTCACCAAAGAAAATATTTGTCAATAAGAAAGTTTTGTCAATAAGTTAGCCATCTCCTAACCAAGACACACAAAATATATAAGAACATTTGAATCTTGGGTTTATAAAATCATACAGTAGGTGACAAGAATTTTGTAACTAAAAAACTCATACAATTTGAATCAATTTTTATAAACAAATTAGGTAGTAGGTATTTTCTATGTGCTGACAATGACAATAAGCTATTATTTATTTTTAATAAAAAATTCAAACGTGAACAATTATTGATAAGAATTATACTGATATAATGATAGCAGTTAAATGATAACAATAAAATGATATACTAAAAAAAAAAAAAATTAGAACATTGGTGGCCCACCGGTTGGTCGACCATCGAACACTATATCCTAATAATAATAATAATAATTTTGTAACAAAAAAATAACGATATTGTTGTAATCGTCGGACGAGAGCATTACCGCTGTTTGTCCGACGGACGCGTTTATTTCCATAATTCCATGTAATAATTTATTATTTTTTTTTACATTCAATAAACGATGTCTTAACCTTTTGACGTGGCAATACGCGTTCCCGAGGTGGGAAATAATTGCCCGTTAAAGGGTTAAATCAGTGCTTGGAAAGTTCATTTAAAAAAGGAATTAGTTCACGTTCACGTTCATCTTGTTAAAAAGGAACTAAATCGTTTCTTGTTCCTGGCTTAAAGAAAGGAACTAGTTTTACTAGTTATAGTAATTTAAACATTCGGTTATAATTTAATTTATCTAGGTATATATTAATTTATCTAAACGACGGTAGCGAAACGTCCTTTTACTATCTCCAATATCCTCCCTAAGCTACAGTGCCGGATTTTTGTCTAAACCTACCTATTGGCTATTACCTATATAAGTAAACATATCTGACCTATAAGTAAATAGTTAATACATTTAAATTTTCAATATTTATAATTAATAATTTATGGGTAATTAATAAGTCTAATAAATAAATAAATAAATAATAGCTAGGTAGGATAGTAGGTAGTAGCCAATTGGTACTAGTATATTAATCTTGTTATTAAGGAAATTATACATTACCTATATTTTGTTCTAAACAAGCATCGTGTAGAAAAAGTGCAAAAAAGGATTCTGTAGATAATAATAATTGATTTAATAGGTATAAATGAATATTATAATGTTAGGTACCTTATATTAGATATATTTATCAGGTGTGCCGTCGTGCCGACGTCTAGCGAGTAGAGTTGGTATAGATACCGGCGTTATTCACAGTTTTCTCCCAAATCCGGTTAGTGTTTCCAAAAAATGTCCAATTAATTGATCAATTTATTAATTAATTGATACATATAATGTATAAAACATGTTATCTTATACGGAGTTATACCTATACTAATTACCTACCTATTGAAATTAAACAAATCTTATGATAATGCAATCAATTTCTCGTTCTGGTCAGAACTAAAAAAAGTAACGGAGAAAGTATAGTTAATCACGGCTGTGCTGTATACATGCAAAGTACATGCAGTCATCGAGTTTAAGTCACCGTAATGACGTAGGTAAGTGTTAAAATTGAATTCATTGATAAATCATTGCATAATAAATGTAATTATGAAAATGTGGATCTATGTTACTCTGATTTTTTGATTTCAGTATGTTGTATGTATCTATAGTAATACTATTTATGAGAAACCTTGTAATACATTATCAAAAATGTAAAAAATCCTGTTTATCCCTATATTTTTTCCAATTATAAAAACAGTACTTTGAATTTTTCTTTCAACCTCTTCTCAAAGTAAAAACTAGACTCACTACCCTACCAGAAAAGTGGGCGAAGTTTAAAATCGAACATTCTATGCTCCACTCTGAATAATCTAATACCTATATATATACTACACATATGTTTATATTTTTATGTAGGTATTAACTTTTTAAATTTGTAAAATCGGTACCTAAAAAAATTAATGTTCAGGGCATCCTAATTTTTTTTCAAATATAGTGGTATATAATATTGGTACGCTAGATGCTAGAATATCTAAAAATTTAGTAGGGGTACTCAGTCCTCTATGACCCCCCACCAAGTCAAGCCCTAAATATATTTAATATATTTTTGTATACATATAAAAGATAGTACAGTACCTACTTATGGATAGATTTATAAAAAATTATAATAAATAATAAAAATAGGTATAAATAATATGGTGTTTTATCGGCGTGGCTTTAAACTTTTAACATACCTAATAATATATCACCACATAATAGATTCTAACTTAAAGTTGAATGCTGCCAATATTTTATTTAAAATTCTAAAAAAATAGTTTGAACCTAGCTTAAGAAATATTAAATTATTTAACTTACCCGAGATGGATATTAATAGGTAATTAATATGAATTATAATTTATAATCAATTAGTTATAAATTCTAAATAGAATGACTCAGTCAGTGATAAACTGTACACGAAACAATTTATTGTTTGTGAGATTTCGACACTGTATATTATACTGTGTAGTGTATAGTACTATATGTACCTATAGGTAGGTACCTATAGTGTATAGAGCACGATTATCTACTAATTCTACAATTAATAGATAATATTGTGTTCTATATAATTTATTTTATATATTGACTAATGAGTATCAATTCTCGTAAATTATCTAGGAATTTTAAATAGATGGTAAGTAAATATATTTTCTTATTATTATTGTATTATTAAAAATGTTTATTTAATATGCTTTTACATTAAATTAAAAAATAAAAGTATAAAACATTGAAACAATTAATGTATAATTGTATAAACATTAAACAGTATAATATTGTATAGGTAGGTATTTGTATGCAAGTACTGAGGTAGGTACCTACATGAAAACGTTTATACGCTTAATTTTTAAAACTACCTATATATTTAATAATTAATAAATAATAATTACAACACTATTAAAACAATACGATGAAAAAGTTGCTACATATTATATGGATTTTAAAACATAATTTATCCGGAAAAATCTCCGCATTTAAAACATTTGCAGTCCGCTGGTTCTTTTAGTTTTACTTCCAACGTTGCCAATTTATCACTGGTCAATCTTACGCCATCGGGATCGTAGCAATGTGTGAGAGCGATCATTCTCTCCCTCAAAAATGTTTCGCGACAACAATAACATTCCTGAAATCACGATATAATATCATAAAGACAACGAATAATAATTATAGATAATTCAATTTTAGTTATTTGCCATAAATTCGATTGGAATAATGTATTTGTTTTCTATTGTATTTCTAAATAAAATACTTATAGAATCCTGGTAAAATTATAAATTTTAGAGATGAATAGAAGGGTAGTATATAACATTACAAACTCATTTGACGTTTGATTAAATCATGCACCTGCAGGACAGCAGCATCATAGGTTAGTCTATAATTCTGTGATTCGATAGTTCATATTTGATAATAATAATATTTTGAGTAAATATGTAAGTAATATAATTAGAGTACAATTATAATTATTTATGAATAAACATTATAACTAATAAGAATTTTTGATATAGGCAATAGGCAATGTAGAATAGATTTTAGACATTTCAAGTTACCTAACTTTAAAAAGAGGGAGTGTAGGTGCCCGCTCTGTTATATTGCAATTTATTTATTCTAGGTATCAAGTGTACTTCGTTATAGAGTAACTTACTTTAATTCATGCGTTACATATGAATTCAATGATAAACCATCATTGCATACGAACAACGATTCTGAACGATGACGGCCTGTCAGCCTAATATTTTATGGTACCTGTTTATTTTATACTGCTATCAATATAATTTATTTTACTATTAGTAATATACTAATATATACCTATACAATAGGTAGGTTGTATTAATTTTTGCAGAAAAAAATTGCATTTAAAAATGTTCTTATATGTATATAAACTATAATAAAAGATATACGTTGAAAGTTTCAAGTCTCCACGAATAATATTTTTAAATTATAATAAAATAACTTAAATCGTTATTCTTTGTTTAACAACTATTTTCGTCCTAATTTGAACATCAAATGTCTACAATAAAAAATTGTGCAGATATTTATATTTTAGATTTATTTGTTTTCAGTAGGAATGAAACTATGAACTACTTATATGAGTTATGAGGAAATTTGTATTAAATTGTCAACACTTGTCCCTTAGGCATACAAATTGTAAGCATTTCATAAATATTTGACTACCTAGGTATACACAATTTAAACTTCAAATACATAGGAATAAGAAAAATCGTGCTCATGAATCATTAATATTTTAAAATAAATATAATAACAACCTATTGAGAATCTCGTGTTAATTATTTTTATTTTCAAGCTTTTTGACCAAGTGAAATATTTTTGTGTAAAAATTCCCGTTTCACCTATCCCCCCCCTCATAAAATACAGGACATTACATTTTTTACTTTTGATGCCGCAATGTATACTAACTAGATTCAATTTTATAACATAAACCACCTTCAAAGTTGAAAATCGAAACATTTTCCAAAAAGTAACAAGACATCTTGTGTGATGACCTACACAGAAAAAATTACACAACATTGTAAAATCAATACATTCATCTCTCCGCCCAGAATCTAAAATTAAAAGTATAAAAATACTAAACATATATATTTTATTATTTTATTAAATTATTAAATAATAATAACTTTTAGGAATCCACTAGGAGTAATGACACTAGGTTGTACTTGTGAATTGCACGCTCCTTCACACTTGTTCACTGCTATGTCACCATTACATGTCCTCTGAAGTCGTCCAAGTTCGTCAAATTCCTCTAAACGTAATAAACAGTATTGTGTTATACAACTGTTACACGTTATATGTTAGATTTGTTTTAAACAAAACGTTAAAACGTACCTTTAATGATATGCAATTCAGAAGGCAAAGTCTCACATTCTTCTGGGTTATCTTCTGCAAGTACGTTATTATGTACGATAATAATCGCGATGGAGATGATAAACAATTGAGCCGTGTACATAATGGCTAATAAGTATTTAGTTAAAAATTAAAATCTGACAAAATGTTTTTTACACACAGTATAAGTAAATAAGTACTTACACAATATAGCTGCCAATAAAGTTTATTGAAGTAATCCAGATCAGGGACTGATCAGTTAGTAGAGACTGTTAACGTTCAAGACAAAACTGTTTATGACTCCCAGAGTGTATATTAAAGCTTCCACTTTAAACAAATATAAGTGTTATTGGACAGAGAGGGTGGTTTAACTTATCCCCAGGGGGTCTTGTAATATAACAATATTTGTGGTGTCCAAACAAAATATGCCACTAAAAGATTTTATTTATAAAAGTAAATATAATTTACTAACGAAGTAAAAAAATATTTGAATTATTATAAATAATAAATATTCTAAGTACAAAATAAATTAAATAAATTAAATTCATAAAATAACTATAAATGTATAATGTAATAAATGTAACAATTTGAATTAGTCCTTTCCCAATGAGCAATGGAATCATCTAATATAGCAAATCCATCTATACATATAGCTATAACTACATATTAATTTGAATATTTAATGGTACCTACTACCTAGTAGCTACTTATAATAGGTATTTTAATCACTCTAAAACTAATATAAAACTTTAAATGTTAAACCATAGTTAAAAATAGAATAATAATTTATAAAAAGATTCCACGTAAGTAGTTAATTCTGTTACCAAAAAATCTAAAAAATAAATAAACACAGTTTATTTTTATAGTCATTTTAAGTTTAATTTTTGGAAAAAAAAATGTTTAATTCCACATTTGTATCTACTTGATGATCCCCTTTTTAATGAATTATCAACCAACTTTCAACTTTCTAGCTATCAAATAGTTTCCTAGAAAAGTTAAAAAATTTAAATTTTGGGACTGTTCACGGCGATGTTTTTTATGGATTCAAATTGTTATGCCGCTTGGTTGTGATAAAAAATGTCTCTCATAAATATTTTATATTAAAGCTAGCTAAATTACCGGCCTACTCATTATTGAGATACATTTTTATAATTTTCCTTTTTAACACAAATTCTTGAAGTTTTAAAAAATCAGACTTTTTTCATTTCAATTACCATACGTACTTGATTAAAAATCAAAAAAGTACAAAATTTAGTCCCTGGTTTTTAAAAATTATATTTATTATTGTGGGGATGGTGACTTTGTTAAGTAATGGGATATGGGTACGGCAAAGAAAATAATAAAAATATTAGGTACCTACTTTACAGATATCTAACCAGTGCCGGCGCTAGGTATTGCGGGGCCCTGGTCATAGGTAATAGCCTTTAGGTTCTCAGAGAGTAGTGAAATTTTAGCTTTTTTTTAAATCAGGATTTTAAAAAAAGTACTGTTTTTATATATAATATAGGTAAATAATTTTTTTTTTTTTTTGTTTTTTAATTAGTTTTATTACACAATCTGTAAATATATTATTTTTACAATAAGTGTAAGTGTTGTAGATTAATAAAATAGGTAAATAATTAAATTTAAATAATGCTCTGTCAATTCTTAATGAATCAAGATATTTTAATGAAACAAAAATCAAATTAAAGCTTATTTTTATCTTTGTTATTCACTTGCCCCATATATAATTTTATGTAATACTAATAGCAAAAACAATCCGATTTTGCACTTGCCCCTTGAAAAGGGGGCAAGTGTGACGTTTTAAAATTAAAAAAAAAAAAATTATTCTTAGGTGAGTGATAATATAACTTTGTTGACTATAAATTCCAATTATGTATATCTAGAGGTGTTACATTATGGAACAATAACAACTTTAAGTTGAAAACAAAAAAAGTATTGTCAAATTCAAAATTAACTTTTCATTTTTGCGTCACACTTACCCCACTTTACCTTACCTACTTGAGTAAACGGAGACAACACATTCGAGTGCGATTCCTCCTGATGAAACCTCGCTCAGCACAGAATTATTGGCGTAGCGTGAGTTTCAGTTAAACCTTTGAGTGGAAAATCGTAGGCTAATAAATTCATAAGGGCTGGTTATTTTATTAATTTACATTTATTTTAACAACTACATAAAATCATCAATTAAAAATAAATAAATTCATCAAAATGTTTGAATAAAATAATAAATTGTTTAATATCCTAAGTACGCGACCGCTGCAGCCAGAATAATGCAATATACGACGGTAGACCACGGTATTCGTATCAAGATGATAATTAAAAATCACGGGGCCCTTTAACAAGCGCGGGGCCCTGGACAAATGTCCCATTTGTCCTCCCCTAGCGCCGGCACTGTAACGTATATACGCATGCAATAAAGACATAAAGTCCCCTTCAATGTGCGTGTGTCACAGTTATAAGTATTTATGGGACGCAAAATAATTTCCAACAAGCTACAGCTTACAGAAAATTACCTGTGACCAGTAAAATTATCTGAATTTGTATTCGTAAAATAAATATTAAATTATATTAAATATTAATTTTGATAGTTTTTAAAAACTAAAAAGCAGAATTATATTTAGTATAGAGAATCTTTCGACAAAATTATTTTATGAAATACTCAATACATTGTCTAAAAATGTATCGCGATACAAAATATAAAATACAATTGTGTCTATAAAGACACAAAGATTGTATCTATATAAGATATTTGTATCGAAGATACTGCCTAACACTGGTTACAGCCATAATAATCATTGATGAAATATGTATATTGTACTTATTGACTATTGTACCTATACACAATTATTGATATACATTTGTCATTATTCATTATTAATTATTATTAATGAATAATAATAACTGATAAATCTTATAGAAAAATATAGCTAACAGTAATCGTTATTAATAAAGGAAATAATGTTTTCTAATTTTGTATAGGTTGGAGGTACCTAAAAAATACAAAATATTGACTAGCTACCTATAATATAGTATTCTGTATTACCTACTTATCTAATTTGAAAAATTGGCAAATAATGTCCATTATAACCATAATACCATCAGTACGTAAGTTTGAGTATGGCTTATGAAAATATGAATCTTCATGTCTACATAATACTTTTAATTAAATAAAGGTATACCTTAATATATTTAATTAATTATTTATATATTATATTGAACAAAATAACTATTTACAAAATTAAATTAATATTGACACTTGACCTTAACTGCAGTAGATACGCCCCTTTAATTATTCAACTAGGTACAGCAGGTATAAATATTTATACCAATATAATTATATCTAAATATTTCGTTGTATTTGACGGCACTTATTATATTGATGGTTGTTTATGCGTAATGTGTTTTATGTTTTACATTTTAAATTACAATCCAATCCTAACTAGAATCCAATTCCTAGGAAGTTAATATTTTTATTTAATTTTTTTATACATCTGTAAAATACTGAAAATAGTGCATAGCTATATAATATAATAACGTTTACATCACAACCATTTTCCAAATACTTTACTCTTAGAAAAAAAGAAACTTCTAGTTATTAATTGTCGTCTATATTTATTATACTATACATAATATTTTACAGAAGCCTTTCAATTTTTGACGCCAACGAACCGTCTGGATTTAAATGATTCTACGTGTATGTGTTTTTCGGGAGCTAGCAGCCGACTGAGCAGTCTAATTCATAAACCATGTTTAGACCCCAGGAGGCCTATTTCTGTTAATAAATCATAAATGTCGGAAGTCCGAGCCCTTCAAAGTAGACTGCCACTCGCAAGATTATTCACAGTATGATCTTTGAGTCGTAATGTCTACCATCAACCAGGAATTTTTCAGTGAGTATAACTATGAATAATTTTAAGATTTTCGAGGTTTAAACGTAAAAAAATTGAATTACTTTAATTATTGCTAAACACGCATGTATAATATATTTATTACATTTATATTTGAGTGGATACTCAAACTGACTCAATCAAAATAATTTTTCATCGGCTCGTAATTTTCTAAACATATTCACAAAAAATCACAAAAAATGAAGGGCAACGTAGGTTCTTAAGTAACTAATCACGCACCGAAATAAACACTACTACCTACCACGATATTATTAATACAAATATATTAAACTCGTGAATCGTAATCCTTTAGCAGTTCTTGTCTAGAAAAAATACGATAATATTTAGCTGCACGATGTTTGTAATGTCCAAACTATCTGGTAATTTCTGTAATTGTGTACCTACTTGTGTGTAAAGTAGAATTTATAAAAATGCATAGCACTATTATTTATAAAATATATCATTAAATTAGGAATTATTTAATTAATGTCCTCAAATTTCAAATTCAATTCGGCACGGGTTACCCTTAACAGATCGACTTATTTTTTGTATACAATGGTATAGCTTATTTATTTATGCATACACACAAATTCAGGGGACGAGACTAACAAAAATGTTCTATAGTTAATATGGGACACCCTAATATACATATTATATTAGAACTGTTTGTAATACGAATTAATTTTCTATAATCTTTTTTATTTCCATTCTATAATATTCCATTACCAATTTATAAATATTTTATATTTTCTTGACATTTCAGGATATCTGACAGTATTGGCTATGTGTAGCATGGCCTTTGCTGATAACGGTAACGGGGTGGTCGTCACCGCTAGGTCTAGCGACGACTGCCAAGTAACGCCAGTCATCCATGTCCTACAGTACCCAGGATGTGTACCTAAGCCAATACCATCATTTGCATGTACAGGTCGCTGCAGCAGCTATCTACAAGTAAATGAGTGTTTTGAATAAAAACTTTTTAAATAATAATGTTAATTTTGTAAATATATGCAATGGTGTTTTGTTTTTTTAACAAGGTTTCTGGGTCTAAAATATGGCAAATGGAAAGGTCTTGCATGTGTTGTCAAGAGAGTGGCGAACGAGAAGCTTCGGTATCGCTCTTTTGTCCAAAAGCCAAACAAGGCGAGAAAAAATTTAGAAAGGTAGGTTCATACTTCATGATCATGATATAAATTCTATAAAATATACACTATTATACGTGTTAAATAAATATTATAAGTAGCGAGAGGGGGGTTTAGGGTCTTTTCGTTATGTATACAATTATGGTCAATTGTGTTTTTCGCATTCATTGTTACCCTGCAATAATGTGCACAAATCAATTTTAAATATTATACGGGGAACGGAGTATCAAGAACTATAGGTATATTATCACAGACGATCCAGTACGAGCACTGCAGTTCGCGAATCTCCTACTCAACACCCGGCCTATGTGGTAGTTCTTCACTTTATTTATAAATGTTATCCGTTATCCCTTACTTTACAATTTACATTATTATTTATTGTTGTATATAATAACTAGCTGATCCCGTGCACTTCGTTTCCCGTTAAATGTACCAACTCTATATGACTCAAAATTTGTTCAATTCGTTCTTTAATATTCGGTGTATGGTGTTCAAAATGTATCTTAACTCTTCTGTTGCCTGGAATAAAAATTCTGATTCGTAGCAGTATATTATCAGGTAGACAATCTACCTGCGGTAGATCGCGGACCCTGTGCTGTTTGAACGTAACTTTATAATTTAACTCTAAAGTATCAAAGTTATACCAAGTACATATGTCACTAAACTCCTCCTAAACGGCTGGGCTAATTGTGAATGCCGAGTATGTCAATCAATATTTCCTCCTCATCCACGAAGACGTTGGACCTAGGGGAGTGATTTGTAGCCTATGTGTTATTCTGATGTATAAGCTATATTATTGCAAAGTTTCATTAAAATCCATTCAGTAGTTTTTACGTGAAAGAGTAACAAACATACAAACTTTTGCGTTTATAATATTAGTAGGATAGGATAATAATCGGTACATTATCGGACTTCTTAAGTATTTAATTATGAGACCAACACTATAAAAAATTAACGCCATTTGGATGATTCCTTACGGTTTTAACAAAAACGACTTTTTTTTAAAAAGCACGCAAGCATATATAGGTACCAAAAAATAATTAATAAATTTAATATTTTGTGCTTTAGAAATTAATGAGTATAGTATACTAATACACAGTAATAAATTAGTATGACAATAATCCAATATAATATATCTATAAATTCATTATATTAATTTATAATAGGTAACTACAAAAGCTCCACTGGAATGCATGTGCCGCCCTTGTACGGGTATTGAAGAAAGTGCGGTGATTCCTCAAGAAATGTCCAACTATGCCGCCGATGAGCCACCAATCAACGGACATTTTTCTAAATCTATTTAAATTATTAATCAATGAATAAAGTGTTTATATTACTTTCATTTTTATACAGTTTCTAATTTCTTTACGTATCCTCTTCGTATCTATAATTATTTACGTAATATTTTCTATATATTCGTATAATAATATATTTATATATATAATATTATATAATATGGTACTATTATTGTAGTTAGTTAAACAGTAATCTCGTTTAGGTACTATAATATTATAATATACTGTACTAAACATATTTTACACGTATGTCAGTTCTCAGTTGCACTTTAATTTATTATAAATAAATGTATTGTTTATTTCAAACGCATATACCTACCTATATTGTTATTTGCTTGTGAAAATATTGAGTGAAATCATAAAAGAAATATTTATTGAGTTTCCTAAAAAAATATTATTCATCGTGCCTTGTATAGATAATAGTTATCTATTATAATATAATAGTTCAATATTATTGCGTAATTTAAAACAATTTTACATAGGTAAGTTAGGTCTTAGGTATATCGTATATAGAAAGTTTAACGTTAGATTAGGTACCTAATATACTACCTATCAGTTTAGAAACCTACAGCATGTCATTATAATATATAGGTAGGTACCTACCTAATATTATGTTTGTACCTTATTTCTCATATTTATCGTTACACCGTTTTTTTTAAACTTTACATTTTCATCTATTATAATAATAAACAGTCTCTGCTTACTTTCAATCTTAAATTTTAAATTATAAAATAAATACACACGGTGGTTGTACCTACTTTACTTGAGTCTAGATAATAATACCCATGTATTAAAAATGTCTAGAAGAAAATATGGCCAAATAAAAAAAGCGGCTAAGTGGGTAAAGCTCTGCTGTAGGTACATTATAGGACGTGTCTAGAGAGCCACTGTAATGGATGTGTTAAATTTGAATTCAATGACATAAAATTATTTTATACGAAATACGATTTGATACGAGTTGATGGTCCTGTCAGCCTATAATAATATTACCATGTATATATTTGATGATAATTGATATTATTGACTATTGTGTTTAAAATAATTTATTTTACCATTAAAATATCTATTATATACTCCTTTCCACGAGGGAAGGAACTCTTTTCGCGATGTAACTGACGGCGTTTAACTACTTTCGCTGATCAAACATAGTTAAATAGTTTGTAGTTGTAGTGGAGTAGTGCTATACAACCACATAATGTTGAATAAGCTTAAAACAAAATGTAGGAAATGTTTGGGGGGCTTAGCTCCTAAAGCCCCCAACCCCTTATTTGCGCCTATGTTCCTGACGCTCAGTGTTGTAAAAAATACTTTTTAAAAGTATTTAAGTAATTACTCAAATACTCTTAAAATAAAGTATTTAAAATACCACCCAAATACTATAAATAGTAAAGTATTTGACTATTTGAGTAATACTCAAATACTTTTCAGAAGTATTTAAAATAATCTTCAAATACAAAAAAAAAATTCTTTTTACTTTTTAGTTCTGAAATAATTTGTTATGATCAAAAATGTGTTTATTGCATTTTAAAAACATGATTCGTTCAATAATCAAAATTCTGATTAGTCATGTTAGTTGCACTACAACAATGAACTTTTCTCAACAGAGTTATTATATTAATTTAAAAATTAAAGCTATATTATGTATTTGGATATCTCATACCGTCATCGATAAACAATAATGATAATAATTGATAAAAATTTTCTTGATAAATAGGTAGCCACTAGCCAGTAGGTACTAATAATTATTAACATTATTTTCGTATAGTTAAATAATTATAAACTATAAAATATAATAGCCGTTAAGTAGAAGCTTTTTACATATATATTTTGTTAACTTAAGCTAATAGTGATACCGACTACAGATGTATCTTTTCGATCATCGTCGACAATAAAATGTCTCCTAGAGAATAAAAAAAATTAAATAAAAGTATTCAATAAAATAGTATTAAATAGTAAAAAAAAGTAGGTATTTAAAATACCATTCAAATACTTCAAAATAAAAAGTATTTAAAAAAGTATTCAATACCGAAAAAAGTATTTGAATACTTTTACTCAATTACTTTTACTCAAATACTATACAACATTGCTGACGCTTATGAAAACTATTGGTAGTTTTTTAATTTTGACTCTCCAAAGTACCTACCAACTAGTTTCCAGAAAAGATGCTGTTGAAGAAAATCGAGCCTGTAGAAGTTTCATGACCAATATTTTGTTCTATGGTCATGGCGGGGTATCAGTGTTCACGTGTAGTGTGCAGTAAAACTTTAGTCAGATGGTAAACGCTATACCTAGTCTGTGGCAGCACTGTCTTACAGTGATAATATGATTTTTTTTATCTATTTATCACATAAGATTTTGTGTTTTTATTATTTTTTGATTTTTAAACATTACATTATTTACATTAAATATTTAGCTTTAGGCTTTAGCATGCTTTAGCCAAGCTTCCAAGCATCCGAGAATAAACTATCGAGTTAATAAAAAGTTTTAATTATTATCTGAAAATTGTAACAAGTACTAATAACTAATATTGTCTTAGTGTAATAATTCACATTAGCTATGAAACATTTAAAATTCATTTCGAGGACTGTGTTGGTGCGGAATGAAAATGTGGACGAAGCCTGCCGTGTTCTAAACCGTATAATGGGTTCTGAAGGTTTCTTGGATCAGTATAGAAGAACAATGTTCTATGAAAAACCAACGCAAATGAGAAGGAGAATTAATTACGAGAAATGTAAAGCCATATACGATGAAGACATGAAACGCAAGATTAATTTTGTTCTACGCAAAAACCGACCAGAACCATTTCCTGGATGTTATTAATTAAGTTTAGTACAAATTATTTTTTCACATGTCTTAACATACAATATTGTTAGCATAATTCTTGTAATATTATACACTATTATACTAATAATATCTTGTACATTTGAAATTCAATATAGGTAGTTATTTTGATTGATATTGAAGTTATTTAAAGTAGATAATATAGATAGTATGTAATCAACTATTTATGTGTGGAAAATATTATAATGTTTTTATAGTAAATTAAGTTACTTATTTTAGATCCTACTCTAATCTCAACTCTCATAATATAACTTCATTGTTTTATTCATACATTATCTCCATAATTATCTTTATATTTATCTCATTTTTGTGATAAAAATGCCTACAGTAACAAATGGATTTAGTCAAATAATCTACATTTTAAATTAAGTATCCCATGCACCTGTATTTGAATCAAACATCCGAGTGCCCTGACAAAATGTTCTAAACAACGCTTTATTTTGAATCATCCCATATATACTTAGGCAAATAATTTGTTTTCATTATATTCATTTCAAGTATTAAACATGATTTTTAATTGGTTTAGTATACTTCATAAGTCTGAGGAAAACTGAATAATATCTTGAGGTCTAAAACTTAATATAGAATGTTACTTTCTATTTAATTTTTTTATTATGTTAACAATGCCCATTTAGTTTCAATTTTATTTTATTACAAACATAAAACCACATTTAACTACCTAAAAAGTAAAAATTGAGGTAAAAATAAATTGTTCTATGTGATTGGATAATAACCGATAATAACTTTTGAGTTAAGAACTTGTATTGAATGACTATGTTCGTACCCTTTGCCGCCATTGTCTGCGCCTATTTAAATTATAAGTAGGTATACCTAACCTAACCTAACCTTGCATAATAGGCGTATACAGTTGAATGCTTTTACTTTATAGTTTATTTTAAACTTTGATTTTCTAGAACCCAGTAACTATTTATCCTAGTTATGCCCGTGTGGTTTCCTGATCTATTCTTAAGCTTGTACAGATAATATTTGGTTTTTAAAAAATTTATATCCATTTTAGATTCTGAGCGGAGCGTTAAATGTATTGATTTTACGATGATGCGTATAAATCCACATTTCAACATTGGATTTTCACTCGTATTTCTAATTACAATAAAAATAATAAATATAGGTAATTTAAAATATCCTAGGCCGACAGACCGTCTTAGCTCTTAATCGAGTCAAAACATTTAATACTTATGTCCAATATTAAATGTTAATTAAATAATTTATAATATAATACCTATACCTAAAACCTACTTACCTATTGTATAATTATTAATTACTTGTTATATTATACATGAGGTAACAGGAAGACCTGAAAAATAATAACTTTTATTCTAATCAATATTTTTTAATTTTTGTTTCTTTTAATTTATTGATTCGTCACTCGTGTGATTAAAGTATTGTATACCATTTTTTATTTTCGTTTTTTAATTGCGCCTGTGACTACATCTGAGTGACACCCTCTTACCCTTTTTTTCCTGTGTAACCGATAGCAGAGGGGGCTCTGTGTGACCAATACTACTCCTCTACTGCCATCGTTTATTGTTGTGCGATGTGCAAATTCAGATAGCTACAATATCAAGTTATTGTTATGGTGTATTATTTTAAATTTCTAAAGGTAACAGAAATAATATTACATAGAGACATTTTTATTTTTTCATAATAAAATAATACATTTTTTTATGGAACTGGAGTGTCGCAACTTGACATCGAAAAAGTCGCAGTCTAATGCAAGAGTCTGTAAATTATGTATAAAAAAAATATCAAAAATATTTAAAACATTGATTAGAACATTTAAAACAAAAGTTATTTAATTTGTCAAGTCTTCCTGTTAGACCCTGTATGGCTGTATAGGTATTCGTATTTATATTATTTTTATTTTTATATAAAATTTATAAACATAATATGTCTGCATCTATATGGGATAGTGATCATATTATATACCCTATTATATCTCTGCAACTTTGGAGTGCATTGGGCCAAAGGTTTTATCTTAATTTTTAACTTTACAAGAATGGCTTGATAACATTTTTTCTAAGATATAGTTACACAAACTTTCATCAATGGTGGCCACCTAAATGATTTTGGAAGAAACAGTTTGGGTAATTGAGATATTATATAATATTATAAACATTTATCAAAATAAAATTACTTCATAATAATGAAAATATAAAATATATAATATCCTAGAAATTATAGTAAATATTACGGCTAGCCTTTATAGGGGAGAAAAAAAAATGGCAGTGAGAATTTTAAAAATGTCTGAAGAGTGACTGTAATATTATTAATGTATCTAAGGGCGCTAATTTGTACCTAGGTATACGAGACTATAATAGGTAGCTTATTACTAAATATACAATGATGATTGATAACATATAATATGTTTATTTATGCATTCAAGTAGTGCATCTATAGTAAATATAATAGTATACTACGATTCACGCGTAGGTAGGTACTTACGAGTTACGGCGTAATTATAAATAATTTTAATTTTGAAGGAGTGGTGATGGGTTTTAATATATAAATAAATGGGTTTGTAATAAACTACACCCGAATAAATTGCGATGATTGAACAAACACTAAACTCACGGCATTTGAGTTATAGGGTGTATAAATAACAAATATCAGTTTCAAAGAGCTTTTCTATCAAAACTATAAATTCAAATTAATTTTCAGTCTTTACTAATTATACTTGTTTCCGCCATTGACAACTAGACTTGTTAAGATATTATGCATTCCACCCTGACCCTCACCATAACTGACAACTGTTATGAGGGTCATTCAATATTTAGGTTCTATGATGTATTTTGTCGTACGATGTCGATAGCAGATATACCTACAGTATATATTATAATTAATATGATTTATTATTTATACAGGAGTACGTTTGGTTGTAACTCGTATTGAATTATGACGAAATCTGAATAAGTATTACCTATATTATACATAATTCATATCGGTGAATCATTATTCATTAGGGCTGCACATTTAATAATTTAAAATATCAAAATTTAAAAAGTGAAAAATCTATAAAGGTCTATTAAAAAGTAAGCACTATAGCTATTTTTAATTATTTTAATAAATTTAAGAAAATTTAAATGATTAAATGTAAAAAGGTGGGTAAGTGGATGTCGCTCTGCTGTACTGTAAGTTACAAGTGGGTCATGGTATAATGGATGGTATTAAATTTGAATTCAATGATATAATATCATTGTATAAGAAAAACGATTCTGAGTGGAGACGGTATGTCAATCTAGGTATAAGACATATAGTATATTATATACTTATCGATGGTATTAAAAAAAAAATTGACCTATAATAGATACCTATAATAAATTCCAAATTAATCATATCACAATTTCCATTAGGTATCATATATGATATAATATCCCCGAATACTATTTTTAAATTACAACGAAAAACCAAGATCGTTAATATTGATTTTAATATGTAATTTCGTCCAAATTTGGATTTAAAATGTCTGTAAAAAATAACTGTGTTCATATATTTTTTAGATTTTTTGGTTACAGTATGAACTATTTATGAGAACTTTTGTTTTAAATTTTCAACTCTTAGTTATAAAAACTGAACATTTTATAATTTTTTAATTCCAACGATTGATAATTTTCGAGATTTTGATAAATTTTGTCAAAATTCCAACTTTAAATGCTTATAAAAAAAAATCGTGCCTATGTATTTTTAATATTTTTCAACTGATATTGTAACAATATATCAGGAGCCTTGTATTAAATTTTTACACTTTTTGGCCCAACAGATAAAACTTTATTGATATTTACAGAAAAAAAAACTAAAAAAAATTGAAAGCTGTAAATGTCCATAAACAGCTCAAAAAGAGTCAAAATATTTTCAAAATTGTATGGTGTATAGGAAATGCTAATATAAACATTCAGTGAAATTTTCATGTATCTACAGTTATTCGTTTTTGAATTACAACAAAATAAGGAAATCGCTACATGAGAAATCGAGTGAAAATCCAATGTTGTAAAAATTTGAATTTCAAACGCTCATAAAAATTTAATTTGACTGTCCGGTAGAGATTTTTTTATTGATAAAGGTAGATAATCTTATAAGGAATCTTGTGTTTCATTTTCAAATCTTAGATTTAAAAAGAAAAATTTTTACGAATTCTTAACTCAAAATAATTTGCTAATTTTCGTGATTTTTCCATATTTTGTCAATTTTTGAACTTTAAATGCTTATAAAAAAAATTGTGACTAAGGATTTTTAATATTTTTCATCTGCCTTTGAAACAACATATTAGGAGCCTTCTATTAAATTTTCAAGCTTTCGCAACCAACAAATAAAATGTTATTGATATTTTTAGAAAAAAAACTAAAAAAAAATGGAAAATGAAAATGTCCCTAAACAGTTCAAAATAAATCAAAATATTTTGAAAATGTTATCGTGTATAGAAAATGCAAATATAAACAACCAGTGAAAATTTCATGTATATACGTTCATTTGTTTTAGAGTTACACCAATAACCAAAATCGATTTTTTGGAAAACCGATTTTGCGTAAAAATTCCCGTTTTTCCTTAATTTTTATGTTGTTTTTCCCGGCGCTCTTGAAAACTACTGGGAAATTTAAATTTTGACCTCCCCAAGGCACCAACGATATTCACTTTCCAATCGAACAAGATACTGAAGTCGAAAATCGAAGCATTATTTCGACTACTTATCGTGTACACAGACAAAAAAAAAAATAAATATAAAAACACACATCATTGTAAAATCAATACATTCATCGTTTCACTCAGAATCTAAAATAAATGCATACAATTTGTGAAAATGGTTTTAATTTACAGAAATTAAAAATAGTTGGAGCTTAATACTGTCTAAATATCAATTTAAAGTGTTCACAGTATTGTATTGAAATGGACAAACCTCGTATTATAATAAAATAATCAAATAAAATAAATATTAAAAAAAAGAGGGTAAGTGGATGTTACTCTGC